ATGCCTTTGGTTAAATTGTGTCTGCACATCATATCCTTGAGCATTATGAATTTTTCCACCACAGATGCAAATAAAAAAAAGGGGAACATTCACAAATAAAATAAACATGCTTATTCTGTTCACAACCTCTATCCCCTCTTCTCCACATTTCTGACTAGTTTATGCTCTTCTGCTTATACCCTTTCAATAAGCAATCTCTATAACTGATTACTGGCAAGGAGAAAGACAGAGGAATTCATTTCTTGATATGTATTACTCATAAATATGTCTTAAAGGTACCTTGCCTGTACGCACCAGCTACAAGCTTGGATGACATAGCCTTTAAAGATTTGTCATATCACGTTGTGCTTATTGTAAAGTTTTAATTGGCCCTGTCTGCTTCTCCTTGTTTGACCTATGGAGACGCAAAGCCCCGTCTTGTTCTACCATCCAAATAATTGTCTGGGACATTTCCTGTTATAAAGGGAACCTTTACCACTAGCCTTAATTGACATTTGTCTTTTCCCAGAATTAAAGGTGTTGATGCCAGAGAAGACCGTTATTATCCAGAAAGACATAGCAGCATGCTTGAAGGATGTTTGAGAAGATCTTGTTTGCTGTGTTCTTGAAAATTACATATGGTTCTGTGTCATTAAAAGCAAGGACTGAGGAGTAAACATCTAAACTGTATCACAGAGCTCTGAGGATATTGCTTGTTATATTTGTTTATTTTGGTGTAAGGTACCCCGCTGCGGATAGCGTCCCAACCTTCCTGAAAACCGATGCATCGGTTTCTCGCTCGAGGGAGTTATATACAAACTTTTCGCTAATCAGCAATAATTGTGTATATGCAGTGGAGCATAATGGATAATGTGGACGGTGGATAATGTTGAATAAGAAACATAGATTCTTGGGGACAATTAGGATTTCCTAAATGGCAGTATAAGCATAAATTACAAGTTGTAAAAGAGTTTCTAATCACATTCATGGACAATGCAGAAGTTTTAGAACATGAGCAAAATTAAATGAATTTAAAATCAAGCAATCCATTAGAAAGCAATATTTTCCAGCACTCTTTTAATCCTATTTAGGAAGTCTGACATTTTGGTTCCCTTAAAGCGGTAGTAAATCGGCCCCCCCCCCCCCCCCCCTAAAAAAGTGCGGTGCATAATAGCGCATTTTTGACAGACTTACCTGAAAACGAAGCCCTCCAGGGGCGCACTGTAGGCACTTCCATCTTCACCCAGTCTTCCGTCCGGGTTCGTGGGCTTTAAGCAGTATGAATTGGCCGAGCCGCAATGACATCACCCCCCCCCCCCCCCCCCCCCCCCCACTCCCACACATGCACATGGGAGTCACTGTTTATGGCACAGGGCACTGAAGGAACGGCATGTTATGCCATTCCTTCAGAGCAGCACATGCAGATGTCACCGGCTACTTCTACAGTAAATATCTCCCCAAATGGTGCATGTGTTTTAGGAGATATTTACTGTACCTATATGTAAGCCTTATTATAGGTTTATCTATAGGTAAAAATCAACCAGGGGTAGTTTACTCTCACTTTAAAGAGAACCTGTCAACCATATATTTGCTTTGAAGCTGAACTCTAGACAAATAAAAAAGTGATCATTTGAGACCCTAAAATGTCAGACACTGGTATAGCGTATGGCAGTGATCAGGACGCTGGTTTGAGGTATGGCGGTTTGACACTGGTAATATAGCAGTAGCCAGGAGTATGGTATGGGATATGAGGGTGATCAAGATGCTGGTATGGGGCATGGTGGTGGTCAGGATGCTGGTATTGGGTATGGCAGTGATCAGAATGCTAGTATGGGGTGTGTGAGGGGAGGGGTTGAGCTGCGTTGTGTGTATCAATGGACACACAGAGCCTGGCTCAGGAGCGAGCCCACATGAGTGCCTCCATAGCAAGCCGCTTGAGTAATTCGATCTTTTATGGAAGTTTAAATTTACCTATTAAAGGATCAGTTGTAAGCAAGTTTTCTTCCTTGGATGCTTTGTTGTCCAAGCAGTTCTAGCGTACCCTGAAGTACTGACTTTATGGAATAGATGTTATAAGGGCTTTTGGGTGAAAGCTGGAAGCATGCAAGATGGTATTGCCGGCTGTAGATTTATGATATAACCAGCTAGCCAAACTACCATTCTGTACATCCAAAAAAGTGACAGCTCTTTTATCCTAGATCAATGTAAATGTGAGAGTAAAAAATTTTTTTTCATTTTTTCAAGACATTTGCATAACAAATCCTCTGGGCCATCCCAAATGAGCAAAATATCATCAGTATAACAGCACCACATCGTGGCCCGTATATATTGATAGGGCTTCATCCGCCATAAACATATGCTCCCACTCCCCCAGGCACAGGTTTGCATATGAGGCGGCACAACATGCCCCCTCCCCCCGTACATCATGGCAACCGGGAGGTAGTGGGACCCATTAAAAGTGAATGTATTGTGATGTAGAATAAATTCTAGGACTGAGACAATAAATTCATTGTACTCCCATTCTTGATGTTTTTTTTTTTTCTGCTAATACATGTCTAATGGCAGCTAATCCTCTGTCATGGGGGATAGAACTGTATAATGATTCCACATCTATTATGACCAGAAGTGCTCCCTCAGGTATGTGCAAATTGTCATTAATCTTTAACAAATGTATGGTATCTTTCACATACGATAGGAGACTGGTCACATGGGGTCTCAAATGTTTGTCTATTGGACCACGGGTCTCCAAACTTTCTAAACAAAGGGCCAATTTATTGTCCTTCAGACTTTAGGGGGGCCGGACTGTGGCCAGTAGGAATAGGAATTTTTTCTGGCATCAGTGGAAGTAAACCGCGTCCCATCTTTGGTATTAGTGGGAGGAAGAGTGTCCCATTGTTTGTCAGTGGCAGAAATTATGCCCCATTGTTGGTGTCAGTGTGCAGAATAGTGTCTCAAATCAGTTTCTACAATAGTGCCACAAGGGCCGGATAAAGGCACACAAGGGCCACAGTTTGAAGACCACTGTATTAGTCAACAGTTTTCCATTAGGGCTCCATAACCTGAAATAATGGGTCTCCCCGAAGGATTGTCTGCATTCTTGTGGATTTTAGAAAGTGAATAAAAAGTTGTGATTCTTGGAAAATTAGTTCTAATAAATTCCCATGTTGTTTTAGTAACGGGATACAAGGCATGGGGTCCACTTAAACCTGAACTCTCCAACGCAGCAGCTTTTGGCTCCAACGATTAATAGCACACTGGCCAGTGAGAGGGGATTTGGAGAGACTGAAGTACCTGTTAGCTTCTACTACTACTGCCCCCTTAAGGACCTCACTACATCCAGTGTTGACGTGCAGAGACACTTGGTCCTATCATTATTGTGCAAATTTGTTCTACTTTGTACCTGTTTGTTGCCTTTGCTGTTTTTTTATTGTAGCCTTAAAGGGTGTGTATCCCAAAAAAATCCTCCTCTTTCCACATTGGTGTGTCAGAAGGTGTGGCATTGCCAAGGGTTTATCTCCGGATTCAGAGGACAGATATATTAGAAACTCCTTTGGGGGGTAGGCACTACACCTGTAATTGCAGTTACTGTATCTACTATAATATATTTGCAGTTTCTTACTAGTCCAATTGCAAGTCCGTAGTCCATATCCTGTTGTGTGTCTGCAGTCCATGGTAGCTTTCTGCACCATTATATTTATTGAATATGTGGCCCTTTGATGAGGACAGGTACCGATTTTAGGGCCCCCTATATCAGTAAATTGCTTTAAATTGCCTCTTAATGATCTTGAAGCTTGGCAGTCACAGATACCGACACCAAATAATTCTGGGTTTCTGCTTTAGAAAATTAGGAAAATCTGCTAATTGGCTGACCATGCAGCTTCAGAAACTGAAACTGAGATTATAGGTTTTGGCTAATTGTAGTCTGTCACATTCAACTGGACTTGTTCTGTAATGTTAAAGATGTTTTGAAATGATCTATGTGGCTTCCTTAGGTCTAATGAAGAAATTTTGTATGCTGATCAGGAGCCACATGAACACGGCAACATCTGACCATCACACATATATAGGGACTCGTCGGATGTCCTGTTTAAAATCCGTAGGCATTAATATGAAGTTGTCCCTCCTTTTTTTTTCATTTTTTTAATTATTAACAGGGAAAGGGGGGTGGTTACCTGTTCTCATAGTATAGTTGAAATGTTCCTAACATATAAAACCCTTTTTATTCCTTTTGTAATAAAAAGTAAAAATTTTAAAAGGAAGTTTAGTATATTTACTGAATTAACTATACTTTTTTTTCAAGCATAATACTTTTGTACACACTGCATTTCACATTCCCAGTGTAACAAAATTAATTTCAATTTGTAAAACTACTTCACACTGAATTTTTATTTTCAATTTTTCCAAAAATGTCCTATCTTTTCAAGGAGAAAAAAGGGGGAAATTTTTTTTTCCCTCATGGCTTCAACATTTCTAGAAAATTTTACATCTCTGCGCATGGGCTATGCAGTCCATTCAAGTTTCTTCACGCCAAACAGGTCACTGTCTTCATGATGCTGGCTTTGTTTACAGAGGCGTGGTTATGCTGAAACAGAAAAGGGACTTCCCCCGACTGTCACCACAAGGTTGGAAATGCACATTTATCTAAAATTTCTTTGTATGCTGTAGCAATAACAAAACCCTTTGTTGGAAGAAGCTGAACTCAATTTGGAGAGGTTTGTCTGCCTGGCCTGTATACCAGTTTTAAGAGCGACCCTTCTGCTCAGAAATTAGTTTGCCTCCCTTGCAGTTTGACAGCTTCCAACTGAGGCAGGTATTTTGCTTTGTAAAAGATTCTTTATAAGGAATTTTACCATCAATGACGGTATATTGGGATTTATCTCTGGATAATTTGCCTCTCTTCCAGTTGTTAGCACTTTATATAGGCTCAATGTCCACTTTGCCATTTTGCTAACATGTGAAAATTTGTTTACATATGCAGATCCTTCCTGCTTGCCTACTCTTTTTATACCTTTTTCTTTCAGAAACATCTCGAAAGCCACCCTTGCTATTCTGAGCGGAGAGACTATTCCTCTTGATGTGCTACAAATAAAAGTAAGTGAGCAAAGAAACTTGAAAAATGTAAATATAATCACATTAGGTAGGCATGGGCTGAGCCAAAAAAAAAAAGAGCCTAACAGATTCCTCTATTCACATCAATCAATGTGGATGAAGATATCTTTGCCAAAAATTTTTTAAAAAAATATATGCCGAAGCATAGGGAGCTGACCACCCCAGGCCCCCATGCTTGAGCATATATGTTCTTTTTTTAACTGTGGATGAAAAATCTCATCCAGCAGTGCTGCACACACTAATGTCTATTCTGAGAGCAAGACCTTGTTGCTGTCAGAATAAACAGATTGGTGCTACAGCTGAATGACATTCCTGCAAAGAAAATAGCAATGGTTAACAAAACAGGAACAGTAAAACAATAACTCAATAAAACAGCTTTTTTATTGAAATCTGTGCCAAAAAATATTATAAAATATATATGCTGAACCTAAGAGCGAGCCACCCCAGGTCCCCATGCTTGGGCATATATGTTCTTTTTTTTAACTGCGAATGAAAACGCTCATCCAATAGTGCTGCACACACTGACATATATTCTGAGAGCAAGACCCTTTTGCTGTCAGAATAACAGATTGCAGGAATGCCATTCAGCTGCAGCACCAAAGAAAAAACACAATGGTTAATAAAACAGTAACAATAAAACAGAAATCAATAAAACAACACTAATTTTTTTTCCCTTTTTTATTTATTTAATTTAACTTTTAACTTTTTTTTTTAAACTGTAACCTCCAGATCTTAGGGTCTCTTAAAATGCGATAGCCAGGTTCTTGACTACCTAACTTCTTTTGAGACCCTGTGTATATATGTGCCCTAAACTGTGCCATGCTGTACCCTATATTAATACTCCACTAGTGTGTGGTAGCAACAGAAACAGTTCTTGAGGCAAAGACCAGGTTGGCCAGGACAGGAAGGACAAAAAAAGTGGGTGTCACACCTAATTCCGTGTCTGCTACAGACGCAACATCTTTTTTGGGGTACCAGGAATGGCATCAGGAAAATGCCTCTCATGCAGCTGGCTCGCTGCATCTGGGTTGGGGGTTTGGGCCACAGCACTTTCTGGATATAAAAGGGCCGTGATGATCTGTTCTTGGAGTTTTAGAAAGGATCCACTTCATCCAGTTGCTTTGGAAAGCACAAAAGCGTTGTACAGAGCCAATTGAAATAAATATACAGACACTTTCTTTTGTACCAGCGTCTGGCTTTATGGGAAACTAAGTATGGGCTTCATCATCTGGTCATTGACGTGCACCCCTCCCATGTTAAGGTTATAGTTATGGACACAGAGGGGGCTTCTCAACAACACCAACAGCCTTGGAAATTTGGATGGTCGTGTCTGCGTGAATGGAAGACAGGGCAAAAAATCCTGTTTTGTCCTTCCACTTCACTGTGAACAATTCATCATTTTTCAAGCAGTCTTTCTCCCCTTTCATTGATAGGTAATTACAAGCCGTTGTGGGAAGCCCCGGCGATTAGGTCGTACGGTGCCACATGCGCAATTTCAAGATTGTACAAATGTCTAAATTGTGGCACGCTTGTATAAAAATTGTCCACGTATAAGTGGTACCCCATATGGAAAAAGGGTAGTACCAAGTCCCAAACTATCTTGCCACTGCTCCCCATGTAATCTGGGCATCTGGGGGCTCAACGTGACAATTTTTTTCCATCATAAATCCAAAATTTACTTGTATAGCCTGTTGCCCTCTCACAGGTCTTATACATTTTGACCCTATATTTGGCACGCTTGCTGGGGAGAAATTGTTTCAATGCAAGGCGAACAGAAAAATTAATGAGGCACTCATCAACGCAGATGTTTTACAAACTTCTGGTTAAGGTTATTTACGAGGGGCTAAATTTGTGGAGCCAGACATATTCAAGGTCACCCCCGAGGACGACAGAGTGTGTTATCACTGAAAATTCATAAATCTCATTATATTCTCATATCTATGCCTGGCCACGGCAGCAGAGAACACGGGCATGTGATAAATTGGGTCTGTGGACTGCAATTAATTTTTTTTTTTTTTTTTTTAGTAATGCCCATGTTGAGGGTTAGGCCCAAAAAAACTTTAAATTGAGAAACCGTAATAGGTTTCCATGTAAGTGGTCTGGAAAGGTTTGAATTTGGGTTGGCGGTGATATATAGCGTATAAATTGCTTTGATCCACAATCCATCCATACAAATCTTCCATGAAAAGGAGCTCCAAAAAATCAAGGGGAGTAGTTACATTTGCTGTTTCCACCTGAATTCTGGGTTGGGCAGTGAATGGGGGAAGTACAGATGCTGCAGAATTCGTGGGCTGCCAATCAGGATTTGCAAGCACATCCGGAAGGACACTATGGGCTCTATGGGCCTGGGTTTGAATTTGTGTTGGCTGCGGGACACCACTTGTGCTAGCCACCACACCAGCTTGTACTGTACTTATGAGACCCGCCACGTCACCAAGTGATACTATACAGTGCTGCTATGTAAAAGACCAGGATGTACTACAGGTGCTGGTGCTATGTACCAAAAGGTAGATCGGCTCTAGTACTGGCACTCTGCTGCATATGAGAATCGTCATGCAATTGTAACACCTCCGCAACCTGGGAACGGAGTCTGGTATGCCTGACCTTAGCAGGGACCTCTACTCCATCATGTAAGCTATCTGTCAGGATGCTGCTGCTCTGTGCAAACAACTAGAAAACTTTAATACTCCTGCGCACGGGAAGTGGGCCCGAAAAAATGTCAGTAGGCTGTAATTGTTTTCTGGCTTTCATAGGATGCTCTCGCCTTGCTGCCCTCATGAGACTGGGGAAGTCTAGAGATACTGCAATAACAAACAAAACGGGGTTCACTGGCCTTGTGCATTATCCTTAAAATATGGCTTTATTGTGTAGAAAAGGTAAGTATTATAGTCACAAAATCAGCTAAAAGTACAAGCTCTCTCGCACGGAAACAGCACCGTTCAATCCACAGTGCATCATAGCGTAACAGGATGATGGAATCTCAAGCAGAGCAGTTGGCTCTAAGGAAGAGGCTAAGTCCTCGAAACGCATCAGAGGTGGAGATTCCATTGTCCTGTTTACACTATGATGGGGAGCTGTTTCCATGCAATGAGCTTGTACTTTTAGCTGATTTTGTGAGTATATTACTTACCTTTCTACACAATAAAGCCATATTTTAAGGATAATGCACTAGGCCAGTGCACCTCTGTTTTGTTTGTTATTGCTGATGCTCTTTACAGGTTCATATTCTGAGCCTGATTCCGTCAGTGAGGCTTCTCCTTCACTCTCATCTGACATCTAGTGCTAGCAGAGATCAGGCCTGACATTGCTAACTATGCAGTTTTGTGTGCAGTGTATCAAGTGACAGTGCTCTACTGACACTGCACTTGCTGGGGGAGAAGGGGGAGGGGATTAAGATTAGGGGCTAAACGCAGGTGCTGGCAGGTGTCGGGACTGCTCCTGCCAACGCTGCGTTTTTGGGTACACTATACTATTGTAAACGCTGGTATAGTTCTAATCTGATCAAACATATTGATCCGTTCAGATACAGATACTAGCAATGGAGGTTTTCTGTGTATGTGAGCACGTTCCTGGTAATCAAAGGGTTAAATGTGATGACTGATGTAGTAGCGGGTAATCTGAAGTTATCTGGGAGGGACACTAATTGATGCTAATATTATCTGAAGTCGCTTGTGACACTATAACAGTGATCAGTAAAAAAAAAAAAAAAAAAAAAAAAAACATCTGTACGCTGTACTAATGACACTGGTGACAGGGCAGTGAAGGGGTTAACTGGGGGGGGGCAATCAAGGGGTTAAATGTGACCTAGCTGTGCTTTTAGTGTGTGTGTGTTGCTTTAACTCACATGGATTTGCTTTCTTCTCTCTTTGGAACAGAATGTGCTCCAGGGAGAGAAGATCGCATCATTGCCTGTGTAATGTAAACACAGGCTGATCTCTGATTGGGTACAGCCAATCAGCAGGTCCAGGCCAAACATCATTGGCCTGAATCTGCTGAGTGATCGGTGCTGTACCGAATCACAGCACCACCACGTGCCCCCTGCCTGTGAACACGTCAGGAGCGCGCAGCACGTTTATATACGTTTATATACTGGACATTGTATCTTGAGTATCACAAAATCAACCAATTATGTCAAAACCAATGTACTGTAATGATCACCTCTGTACGAATGGATAACTGTGTTAATGACTCCACTACTAGGGCTTATTTACATGTCAGCTTGGGGGGGGGGGGGGTAAACCTTGCTATTGAATCACTGTTTTTTACCGCTTCTCAACCTGCTACCTCCTTTAGCTGCAGAGGCAGCAGCTGGGGGTGTACACATGCCATGGCTGCAATGCTTTGTTTCACAGCTGTGGCAGGAATTACACCCCCTGTACGCCTGCCAGTCATGACCCACTCAAGTGAGCGAGAATGCTTGTGCCATGTCCAAGGGGTTATAGCAGGTGGTGAAGAGACAATACAATGCCTTCTCACTGGCTGCCAAATGCTTTGTGAAGAGCGATATGAACACGGATGGCTCTTCAGAGAGCATCACAAATGTAAACAAGCCCTTAGGTGACACTATGACTAGCTTGGCAGTGATCAGGAACTGTGACTGGTGTGGCAGTGATTAGAGACACTGTAAGTGATGGCGATAATTAGGGACACTGACTGGCAGCATTGGTAGGTGACATTTACAGCTGGCATCACTGACATACAGTAATATCAGAGCAGCCAGCCAATATACATGATCACTGCAACAGCAGTACAATGTCACCTTAGTGGCACTGCACATGCTCTGGTGACTGCAAGTTAAAAGTTTTGCATACTGTCATCAGAGCATTGCAGTGACACCATTGTGACACTGTACTGCTGGGTGGAGGAGGGATGATCTGGATTTTTTTTTTTTTTTTTTTTTTTTTTACTGTGATTGCTTATACATCCATCATGGCTGTATAAGCAATCATTCTGGACACTGTTCAGCTGCATTTCTGCAGCCATTGAGTACTACTGTGATAGCTGTGATTGGCCATAAGCTGTAACATGGTATAGGACTGCTGTGACCAATCACAGAGATCACAGTAGTAAACAATGGTGTTCTGAATGACTGCCTGGTTTACTTCTGGTTATGTGATCGTTGTGATTGGGCACAGCGACCGCATGGTACCAGGGCCAGTCACAGTGGCCCTGTACCCCGATCTATGACAGATCGCTCTGCTGCACACCCTTGAGGATTGACACTTGTTAAGCAGTTAAAGTGATTGTAAAGATAACATTTTTTTTAAATAACAAACATTTCATACTTACCTGCTCTGTTCACAGATTTTGTACAGAGCAACCCCAATCATCATCTTCTCAGGTCCCCTGCTGGAGCTGCTGTCTCCTCCTCTTCTCCATGTGCCACTATAGAAAGCCACTTCCTATGGTGGCACACGTGAGGGCTTGATCCTGAGCCGTGCTCTGTGTGCCCATTGACACACACAGTGCAGTTTGGGCCCTTCCACTGCTTCCTTTTCATTGGATTTGATTGACTGCAGCAGGTGCACTGAATACGGGTAGCACAGTGGCTAAATGGTTAGCACTTCCGCCTGGCAGTTCTAGGGTCGTTGGTTCGAATCCCAACCATGGCACCACCTGCCTGGAGTTTGCATGTTCTCCCTGTGCCTGCGTGGGTTTCTTCGGGTACTCCGATTTCCTTCCACACTCCAAAGACATGCTGGTAGGTTAATTGGCTCCTGTCTAAATTGACCTTTGTATGTGTATGTATGAAAGTAAGTTAGGGATCTTAGATTGTACACTCCTTGAGGGTTAGGGACTGATCTGAATGTACAATATATATGTAAAGCGCTGCGTAAATTCATGGTGCTATAGAAGTACCTATAATAATAATAATAATAATAATAATCAGCTTCTTAAAAATCTACCATAACTGATGGTCATGCCGCAATACCAGATTTTACCAGCAGGGAGCATAGCAGGTGTAATATGGGATTCCCTATTATACTGAGAAACGTAAGCAAGCTTGTAAGGAGATGTTTGAGGCTACTTAGATTCTCTGTAGCAGTAAATTAAGTTAAATAATAGTGTTTATCCATCCAGCTCAGCCTTTTACCCACTTCTAATTCTAATTCAATATATATAATAGTAGTTGTATTGATCTTAAGGAAGGTGAGTAAGAAAAGTCCAGAGAAAACAATCACGTCTCATTAGGCAAAATAAATGTGCGGTGACTGAATACACTAATCATTGCGGTGCCTGGATTCATGGACCATCACTCACTGCAAGGAATGGAAAGTGTTCTTGTCCTGGCTAACAGCTCTCGCTGTCAGTTCTGACGTGACTCTCTTTCTACAGGGAGAACAGGAGCAGCCTGTATTTGCACTGACCGGCCTGCGATGGGGAAGCTATCGAGATGCAGCAGGGGAATCTACAAAGTAAGTTCACTGAATGCATCTGCATACACAGAGATAAGTTGTCAAATGACCAAAATGATTGTACTACAGTTGTTCAAGACCTAGATTAAAGGATCTATATCTCAAAAATAAAAAATATGTGTAATACATTTAAAGTACAAGCTTGCCTTTGTTCTAAAAATCCCCTACCCCTCTCTTAAGACCCTTCAGTTCATTCAGCTGTGTCACCACCACCTCCTCTGATTGATACGGCCTCCAGTTCAGTCTGCAGCTTAGCCTGTAAAGACTTGGTGCCTATAAAAGGACATACTCGTATTGCAGAAGCAACATCCTATTAAAGTATAGGACATCAGAGATCAGAATGCACATTGTAACTTTGTAGCAAGTCACATAGTAAGAGGCTGAAGCAAGGGCTGATCTTTGTCAGGCATATGTAAACACAGCTATGAACTCCATGGGTACCACAATACACATGCCTGTGGCAACTTTAAAGCAGCTGTAGATGAGTCAGGTTTTTTCGTTCAATCATCCACACAACGGTGTATGGTTGGATCGAATGTGTGGATGGGGGGAATCCTCACCATTGTATTCTGATGGCTGAGAGACTTCCCCACTGTCAAAATATACTGGTCAGTGAAGGCTATAGCCTGCAGCGTTGATCAAGCAGGGAAAATCTGACATGGCAGTTATACAGAGGTCGATTCTGTACAACCTCCCTGCCCATATATGGGTCGAAAATCAGCCAGTCCCTGCTAAACTAGCTGAATTTTGACCCGTGCATGTCCGGCTTTAGTTGGTATCTCTGTCTGTGAACGATGCCTGAACAAATATCATCTTCTTGGAGAGAAAAAAAGACTTGCATAGCTCTATTTTTGAACAATGCAGTTTCTTTAAAAAGTTAAAACATTTTTAAAGTACTTTCTTTTAAAAACTGGTAATACATTTAATGTAAGGTTGTAAGAACTGGCAGTGGAGTTTAACATGAAATAGTCTATTTGACATGGATAACCTATTTTCTGTACTTTGCTAGTCTGAAAGCGTAAATTCTTTTCTGTTGTGCTCAGTAAAGAAACTGTAATAGGTGAACAGAATGAGTAGGATTCCATTTCTCACAAGTTTTCCACCAGTATAATGACATCTGATTGGTTGATATGGGCTCACTTTGCATAGTTTCTTTGCTCCCTTTTAAAGCTGAACTCCAGGCAAACAGCTGGATACATATAGTGAGTATAGAACAGTCTGGCTCCCACCCACAACATTCCACAGAAACTGTCCTACTAAAACTCACTAATGACCTAATAACTGCTAAAACCAATGGTCATTACTCCATAGTCATACTCCTTGACTTTTCCGCTGCCTTTGACACAGTCGACCACCCTCTCCTCCTCAGTAAACTCCACTCCATCGGCCTCCGTGACTCTGCTCTCTCCTGGTTCTCCTCTTACCTGTCTCAGCGCACTTTCAGTGTCACATACAACTCCTCCTCCTCCGCTCCGCTACCTCTTTCTGTTGAGGTACCCCGAGGTTCTGTTCTTGGGCCCCTCCTTTTCTCTCTTTATACCTCCTCCCTGGGCCAACTGATAACCTCCCATGGCTTCCAATACCACCTCTATGCTGATGACACCCAGATCTATCTCTCCACTCCCCAGCTCACCCCCTCTATCTCCTCATGTATCACAAATCTACTAAGCGACATATCAGCATATATGTCACATCACTACCTTAAACTCAATCTTTCAAAAACTGAGCTTGTAATATTTCCTCCTCCCCGATCTCCCACTCACGACCTTACCATTAAGATCAACAGCACAACCATTGGTCCTTCCCCTCATGTCAGGGTGCTAGGCGTAATCCTATACTCTGACCTCTCCTTTGGGCCCCACATCCACTCAGTGGTTAAATCCTGCCGCCTCAACCTCCAGAACATTTCCAAAATCTGCCCCTTCCTGACCTATGACACCACAAAACAACTTATCCACGCCTTGGTTATATCCCGCCTCAATTACTGCAACTCCTCCTCCTCACTGGTCTACCGTTACACAGGCTATCCCCCCTTCAGTCTATTATGAAAGCTGCTGCTAGACTCATATACCTTACCAACCAATCAACGACTGCTGCCCCTCTCTGCCAATCCCTCGACTGGCTTCCACTAACCCAACATATAAAATTCAAAATACTAACCACAGCTTACAAAGCCATCCACAACACTGCACCTAGCTACATCACCAACCTCATCCACAGATACCGCCCAAATCGCCCACTCTGCTCCTCCCATGATATCCTCCTCTCTAGCTCCCTCATCATCTCCTCCCACGCTCGCCTCCAGGACTTCTCCAGAGCCTCTCCCATCCTCTAGAACTCCCTACCACAGCATGTCCGGTCAGCCCCCACCCTGTCTGCCTTTAGGCGATCTTTGAAAACTCACTTCTTCAGGGAAGCCTACCCCACCTCCACCTAAGAACTGTACTTGAATCACCTCCGCCAGATCATCCCCGCAGCTATCACCTTTTGTATCACCTCCCCCTTCCTTTTAGATTGTAAGCTCCACGAGCAGGGCCCTCACATTCCTTCTGTACTGAAATGTATTGTAATTTTATTGTCTGCCTTATATTGTAAAGCGCTGCGCAAACTGTTGGCGCTATATAAATCCTGTATAATAATAATATAGAAAAGAATTGCCCCCTTAAAAAAAATCACATTTTGTTGCTTTGTAGCCTGAAATGAAGCCAGGCACAGTTTTTTGTTTTATCCAGCTGTATTTACTCAGTGCAGCATTTAACATCCAAGTGAAAGATATAACATCAACATGTCAGAAAAAAAAAATTTAATTAATTTAATTTAATTTAAATTCAAAAACAGAATCACTGAGTTGGAAAAAGGATCACCTCCTTGTGTCAGTATTTTGTTGAACCACCTTTTGCTTTAATTCCAGCCTTTAGTCTATTGGGATATGTCGCCACTAACTTTGCACATCTAGATTTTGCAATATTTGCTCACTGTTCTTTGCAGAACTGCTCAAGTTCAGTTAAATTTTGATGGTGACGGTTTGTGGACTGCAGTCTTCAAGTCATTCCACAGATTTTCAATTTCAGTCTGAGCTCTGACTAGGCCATGCAAGGACATTCACCTTTTTCTCCTTCAACAACTGTGTGATCATTTTTGCTGTGTGCTTTGGGTGTTGAAAGGTAAACCTTCCCATTGACAACTTTCTGGCAGAGGGCAGCAGATTTTCTTCAAGAATTTGACGGTATTTTGCTCCATCCATTTTGTTCTTGTATCCTGACAAGTGCTCCAGTCCGTGCTGCAGAAAAACACCCCCATAACAGGATATTACCACCGCCATGCTTTACTGTAGATATGGTGTTCTCTGGATGGTGAGCTGTATTGGATTTCTAACAGACATATCATTTGGCGTTGAGGCCAAATAGTTAAATTCTGCCCATAACACCTCTTTTCATGTGGCCTCAGAAGGTGCGTTTTGGCAAACCTCATTTGTGACTGCAGGTGGCCATTCTTGAGGAGTGGCTTTTTTTTTGCAAACCTCCCATACAAGCCACATTTGCAGAGAATTTGTTATATTGTTGTAACATGCACACAACAACCACTCTTTGTCATAAATTCCTGCAACTGCTTCAGAGTTGCTGTAGGCCTCTTGGTATCCTCTCTGACCAATTTCCTCCTGTCTTTTTCATCCAGTTTGGAGTGACGTCCTGACTCAGGGAGAGTCTGTGTTGTACCAGATACCGTCCACTTCTTAATGATAGACTTCACTGTGCTTCTAGGCATTGATTAAGCATTTGAAATTTTTTTGTATCCATCTCCTGACTTGTGACTTTCCACAACTTTATCCCAAAGATCTTTAGACAGTACCTTGCCAACTATAGTTGATTGTTTGCTTCAGTTGCACTATCAGGGACTGAAATGCTCCTGGAAAGCTCTTTTCATGCTGAGCTAATCAAAACGACCACAGCTGAGCACCGTTGAAAGTCAAATGGCTTTTTGTGCTATTGAGAAGGTGATTAGCTACACCTTATAATATCAATATGCAGCCCTAATAAAAATGTGTGTTATAATCAATGATTACCATTGTGATTGTAGAAAAGAAAGGAAACATCATAAATAAGAAATAAGGAATAGTGAATACTCCAATGAAGAAACAAAATGGACAGTATAACAAATTAAAATATATAAGTCCTCTAAATATCGTAATAGTCCCAAAAATAGTGATGTGATCAAATCAACAAAATGTAGTGACTTCTGTGACTTCTGCACTACACCTCCATCATAATGCACTCACCAGAAGTAAGTAGCAAGCCCAGAGTGGAATGACAATAAGGGGTGTTCCTGCTTGTTCCTCCTGCCGGTGACTCGGTTGAAGGTGGGATCTCTCCAGAAGCCAGTGATACACCAAATGAACAATCAAAAGTAGAGTAGCCAAGTCTCCATCTTCAGCCCACGGTGATCCAAGAAAAGGGATTCCTCCTAGAGGTCAAGCTCATAGACCGAGCCGGAAACAGTATCATATAGTGTAGTATGTTTTATTAAAAAGATAGCAACCACATGGAGCATAAAATCATCAATGGATAAAAAGCACTTACAAAGATGGCCTCCGGATGATAACATAGACGCACGTAGGCTCCTCACTGACGTGTTTCGTGCGCACGCACGTTCTCAAAGGGATCCACCTAGCGCCGACGCCATGACAGTGTATGCCTTATATAGGCCTGAGGCCACGTGGTACAAAAGTCATTTTCCAACTTAGTGATTCTGTTTTTTATTTTTTTTCTGACATGTTTGTGTTATATCTTTCACTTGGATATTATAAGTTGCACTTAAATGCAGGTGGATAAAACAAAAACTGTGTCTGTCTTCATTTCAGCCTGCAAAGCAACAAAATTTGGTTATTTTACAGGGGGGGTGATTTTTTTTTTATACCCACTTTAGCTAACTACAATGGAATACATATGGAAGCTGTTTTACCTGTTAAAGGATTTGTATTTCTGTCTGTCCACTCTTGAAATGTACACAGCTTTGCTAGAACAGCCCTGTCTAGCAAGGAAAGGGACCTGGTGTTTCTCTGC